GTTTGACTAAATATTGCATGAGGAATAACACTAGCCTATGTAGTCAAAGTTTATTTGATCCGTCTACTAGAAATAGAGAAGTAGATATCTCTAGGCCCCTCGTTGATTTGGCGGTGAAAACAAATGCTTGGCCAAGCTGAGACTTACTTGGTTAGTTTTGACAGTCAGTTTGAAAGTCACCACAAGTCAGTATCGGTAAACATAATTGTAAACCATGAGATTAACCCTAAATCCATTTCTCTACTTCATAATAAGATATCATGAAGATCAAAGGAATTTGAGGTTATCAGTCTTAAGACTATTTATACCAAAGTTGTTATAAGTACAGTAGTTGAATTAGGCTGCCACTCACTGTTGTCTCTAGTAAGTATTTAACCGGTTAATTGTTGATGCCTAACTGCAAGTGGGAGCTGGTGGAGATTAGTGCACATAGTCATAACAGGCCCGATAATATTACTATAAATAGTAGTTTCTTTTTGGGTTACGCGTAAGAACAAAATAAAGCAGATCTGAAAATATATTTATTTGAGAGACTTATTTTTTTAATTAATTAATATTTTAATTAATTAATAGTAAATAAAGGAATATGGAATATTCCAGAATGATTTGAATTACATAGATAATTATAATTAAGTTTGGTAATTATCTCTATGGTTTCAAATCGCCTCCTTATAAATAGAGAGCTCCAAATCCGATTTTAACACATGAGAAAAATACCTCTTAGTCTCAAAAGTTTGGAATCCTCAAAAACTCTAAGAAATCCAAAAAGTACAATTTCCACGTCGTGGTAGTTCACTTACCACGTCGTGGCCCGCGACAAATTCGTGTTCTTCGCTTCTGTTTTCTATTATGGTTCAAGGGTTGCTCAAGATCTGCTTGCATCTTGTTTCTTGGGTGCAGTTTCAGAAGAGAAACTCTACCTTGGGTTCTCTAGTCCATTCAAATGACTCGTTAAAAGAAGAAACCTACAAAGAAAGCAAATGTATGATTCTATTCTATTGTTTTCTATAAGTTGCATAGATTAGTTGAGTTAGATCTTGTGTTTTGAGTCTTAGATCAGAATTGTTTGTTGTTTCCACTGCCCGATTGTTGATCTTTGATAGGCTCGAAACCCTTTAGGACCGTGTCCTGGGAATAGGCTCCAAAAGTCAAGTTAGATCGATGTGTATGAGGAGAACCATTTTGGTGGGAAAAGTGTATGTATAAAGTGGAGGCTCATGTCTAAGAATGAGACATATACCTCATGGAGGAGGAGGTGTTCTATTTATATATCTAGGTCAGTGGATAATTAGGTTAGGCTTAGGCCAACCCAATTCAAGCCTAACTAGTCGTGGGCTAGGTTGTGCTGTCAGGTCTTTAAAGCGCATGCAGCCTAGCCCATGACTAGTTTGACCTAAGCTGAGCTGGGCCAAGACCTGACCATCTCCTCATATACATCGATCTAACTTGATCGTTGGTGTCTGCTCCCGTGTTACTGTTTATGAGGCGGTGTAATGCTTTTGTTTTCTGATGGCAGCTAATAATCAAGTCGGGAATTCACTAACGACACCTACTTCATATCCACAATCCATATATGACACCAAGACTTAATGACTCGATTACATGTCACATCAGTGGGTCTTATGACTACTTGCACTTAGCATAAAGAACCCAATATTACCAAAACTAATAAAGAACTTTGGTTTTTGTCCACATTTAGGTAACTATGTTTTTTTTTCGTACATATTTAACCAATAAACTTGTTTGACCTGTTCATAATATGGTAATATCACCAGTAATTATTAGTCATATTACCCTATTTTGAACAAGTTAAACAAGTTTAATGGTCAAATGGGCTGGCCCAAGACTCGACTATCTCCTCATATACATCAATCTAACTTGATCGTCGGAGCCTACTCCCGAGTTACGGTCAATGAGGCGGTCTAATGGTTTTGTTCTCTGATAACAATTACGAATCAAGTCGGGAACTCACTAACGACACCTACTTCAGATCTACAATCCATATCTAACACCAAGACTCAATGACCTAATTTCATGTCACATCAGTATGCCTTATGACCACTTGAACTTGACATAAAGAACCTAATATTACCAAAACGGATAAGAAACTTTGATTTTTGTCTATATTTAGGTAATCATGTTTTTTTCGTACACATTTAACTAATAAACTTGTTTGACTTATTCATAACCAGTTATATTACCCTATTTTGAACAAGTCAAACAAATTTAATGGTCAAACGTGTATGAAAAAATATGATTATCTAAATGTGGACAAAGATCAAAGTTCGTTAGACTCCTACATCATTAACCCTTATCTTTTTTTTTTCTTTTAAAAAAGGAAGACATTTCACATACGCTTAGGCTTGTTGGGTAACACTTCATATATGAAGTGAGTCTTTTAGATTTCTTTAGAAATATGTAGTGAATTATAACAATTGAAAATAATGTTAAGTTATTCTAGAAAACGTTATATCAACATATACAAAAACCCAATTACTTGTAACTTTTGTTAAGCGCAATTTATATCTAAATTTGAAAAAATATTTTTCAAAAATCGATTTAAATAAATATATTTTAAAAACATCTCTAATCATCAATATTTTTTATAGATTTTTGTTTTGTCACATCATATTTCAATTAACTTTATCAAACAAAATGCAAGTAAAAAACAATATTGCAATAAACGAAATTAGAACAATACATTATAATACATGAAGTTAAAACAATCTAACATAATACATGAAATTAAAATAAAGATTACTAAGTCTCGTTTATAGACATAAAAATGTCACAAATAAATAAAATTTTAAAAAGTAATATATTGAAATTTTGCAACAGATGATAAAATAATCATGATTATAATTATTAAATAAAAAACAGTAAAATATCTTGTGATCATTATAGATTTAATATTTAATATTAAAAATTAAATTATAAAAAGTAATATAACTTTAAATGTTAAATAAAATAAGAAGATAAAATATAACACTATTCCATGAGAAAAGGTTAAACATGCAAAGGGTAAAACTAAAAAATAATCTTACTGTTTGATATTGAAAATTTTATAACGTTTATTTCTAATAAAATGAAAGAAAAAAAGGGGAAATAATTTTTTTTTTGTAACGTTTAGTTCTAATAAAATAATAGAAAAAAGGGAAAGAAACTAAAAAAAAAAGTAAAAAGTATAAAAAAAATTATATTTTATGGTCCTGAATTAGAAAGAAATGAAAAAAAATTAAAAATTATGTTTATTTCTGTGTAAATCTTTCCAAATTGAAAAGAAAGTTAAGATGAAAATTCTTTCTTTTAATCAAACCTGAAAACACAAGTTTTTTTTTTTTTTTTTTTTTTTTTTAACTTTCTGCTCACTTTAATCCATTTCCCTTCTTTTACATCGTTAAGTTCAACTCAAGAATACGATTTAAGTTAATGATCAAATCAATATCTCGATTAATAAATGGAAAAACACAAACTTATGGTCGTTATATTGTTTTAGGTGATTTTAGAAATGATTAATATATGTTGTAATTGCATATTTAAAAGTACCTTATTGAATTATTTTTTTAGTAAAATACATGACCTTATTGAATTGTTTTTTTAGTAAAATGCGTTCTTTTCATATATAATTAATCACTGTGATAAATATCTTTTAAAAGAATATAGTATTTGAAATAAACTATAAAATGTTAAAAGGTGGGTCTATCCTAAAATGCAATGTACTCTTTTTTCAAATAAAAAGCAAAAAAGGGCCCCCTGATTAAGGTGGATTCTGTTTAGACATGTTAAACAAAGACGAAAGGCAAAGGCGCGTTTTGCATTTGTTTTTTCTGATGTCCTTGTTTCTTTACTTAGAAACGCTAAATTACAAAATGGTCCCTAAACTATGCTTCATCTTTTAGTTGATCCGCTTTAAATAATGTATTTTGCTGTTTTTCCTTAAAGGGTAAGAACGATTGTTACATAAACCAAGTCTGTTGAGAGTCGAGAATGCCATCAAGTTCCATAATAATTTATTTATGTTGTTTTCATTTACATTAAATGTTTATTTATAAAGTTACATTTTATATATGATTTTTGTTTTCACTTTATAGACAAGAAGTTTTGTATATAAATTATGCAGATGTATATAAAAATTGATGAAAAAACACTTTTAAGTGTGAGGACACTTTGTCTTTTACTCACAGTCGCAATGTAGATTTTGTAGACATCGTGATCATTTAAAAAAAAAAAAACCAAAAGATGGGTTAGTGCTGGATATTCGGACGTATAAATTTAATGAATAACTATTTCTTTTTGGTCATTTTAATGACTACCCCTTAATAAAAACACATGTAATTGCTTTTAATGACTGCCCCCCGCCGCTGCCCCCACCACCACCATCGTCCCCACGCCCACCCTACCACCGCTACCGTTTTCTAAAAATGAAATCCCATAGAAAAATACATCTAAACGCGTTTTCTAATTTTCTAAAACTGAAAATGAAAAATGAATAAGTTTTAACTAAACGCGTTTTCTACATTTTCCAATGAAAATCGAAAACGAAAAACGAAAATTGGAAAGTGAAAACGAAAAACGGAAAATGAAAACTGTTTTTCCGTAACTAAACGCAACCTTAGATTTTTCAAAAATATGTTCGAAATTGTAACATCCGTTTTCTAGGTCTTCTAGGTCTGGAAGTTCCAGTCAAATGGGTTGTTTTGACATTAACCCGAGAAAAATTGGTAAAAGAAATAGTAGCCTATGGAGCCAAGAATAATACAAAGGTCTTTCCAGAAAGTCCTTGATACCTCAAGAACCCAAAACCTTTCTGTACAAATTTCCTACAATCGTATCTGAAAAAGGATGTAAGAGACCTCTCCAGAGAGTTCCTGAGATCTCCTATATCCAACCTATAAATACCAATCATACAGAATTCAAATTGTCAAGTAAGCATTGCAGCAATATCTAGGAAAGATCTCTTTGTTATCCTCTTTAATTCCAAATACAGTTAAAGCGAGAAAATGTCGATCATTCCCAGCTTCTTTGGTGGCAGACGAAGCAGCGTCTTCGACCCATTCTCTCTTGATATCTGGGACCCCTTTAATGACTTCCCCTTTCCAACTTCATCCGATGCTTCGAGGGAAACCTCTGCTTTGGTGAACGCCCGTGTGGACTGGAAAGAAACCCCGGAGGCGCACGTGTTCAAGGCCGACCTCCCTGGAATCAAGAAAGAGGAAGTGAAGGTGGAAGTTGAAGACGACAGGATTTTGCAGATCAGCGGTGAGAGGAATGTTGAGAAAGAAGATAAGAATGATACATGGCACAGGGTGGAACGCAGTAGCGGGAAGTTCACAAGGAGGTTTAGGTTGCCGGAGAATTCGAAGATGGATCAAGTGAAGGCTTCAATGGAGAACGGAGTGCTTACAATTACTATACCAAAGGAGGAGGTGAAGAAGCCTGATGTTAAGCCTATTCAAATCTCTGGTTAGAATTTGTACCACGTACGTACTTTTTTCTGTATGGTGTTTGTGATTGTGTTTGTATACCAAGTGTTCGACATAATGTTCGCGGTTGTATGTTGTTCTTCCTATAATACATAATAAATTTATTATCCTATTCACAATGCTTTAAATCTTCAATTTTCAAAACATTAAGTTATATAATCAAACAGTTGAATCTTTATTTTTATTATATAAATTATAGGTTTATCTAATTCTCATACGTAACGGCAACTATGTAGTTTATCGTATATCTAGCCGATAAGTTAATGCTTGATAAATGGTTGAAAAAATGTTGAATTGTCTATTAAAAGAACATATTGTTATCTTCCAGTTGCCATTCAAATATATACATAAATTTACATACTTACATGAAGGATGCAGAAGATCATTCTGAGAAGTCCCATAAACGTTAACTTTTTTGTTGGGTGGGGGTGTGGGATTCATGATCCTAATCTGATTTGAATTAATGAAAATTGGTATCGTGTCTTTAACAAAATATAAAAATTTGAATCTAAATTTTTAGTCTTTAGAATAAAGCAAAGAATTTTGTTCTGATTATTTCATATTCATTCAAAATAAGTGAACAAACATGCAGTTTGCGATGGCAGATTAGTAAAGAGTTAAACTGAATCATAAAACAAACTTGGGCCCTAACGTGAGCCCCAAAACTTGTTCGTCAAACTTAAATAATTAAACAGCGAGCTCGTTTATGAAGAGGTTGTTGGCCGTTAGGAAGTAATGACCGCAAGCAACTCAGTTCATGTAGTTATCATTTTCATTTTTTAAGCCCAAATGAGCAGCTTTATACTAGATCTGTCACTTTCTGTTTTTTCTGAATGGTTTCATCATCATCTCTATCAAGTTACTGAATGAGGGGGAGTTTCATACGAAAAGTTTAGGGATCAAAATTGAAATAAAATGTACAGATAGTTGGAGTTAAAAAAAAGTCATGGACCAACCATGTAGGCTATCTAAACCAACCATGTAGGTTGTCTAAACCACACTGACCATTCGTGTAATTTACCTAAAGTTCTAAAAAGTTTGTCATAACATCATGGCTTCAATGCTTGTATTCGACGCCGTGTTTTAACAAAAAGTCGCCTTAAGTCATATATGTATATAAAAATGAATAATAATAGAAAATATATACAGAATTATTAATTATATACAAAATTGTTGACTTAAGTCATGCCTTACAAATGATGTAGCTCGTCACGACTCGTAAAAACTTAAGGTTTTATATTGCCGCCAAATCACCTACTAACGTTATTTACGACTTTGAATTTACCCTAAAATAAACGATCATTTATGGTAGACGATTATGCAGTTCTATTCAGGAAACTTTTTTATATATTTTTCAGTCCAAGGTTATTAGAAGATCTTCGATGGCCGAGATATGGTATCACTTAAACATGTTGCCTTTCACCATTACATTATTTTAATTTAATATTTAATTTGATGGTCTATCTAACGGTTAATCTTTTTTTAATAATTTTTTTATATGAATTTAACTAATTTATCTTCATCTATCTAAACTGTTCATAATTTTTTTCCTATTAATTCGTCTTTTCATTAATACAAATTATATTTTAATATGAAAATATAAATACAACTGATTAAATATTTATATACATAAAATATCAAAGCAATATACCCACATAATAGAAACTAGAAAAAAAAACCCGGGTGTTGCCCCGGGCCGGTTCTTGTTTGATAATATGGTTTCTCTACTTTGTTATAACGGATCTCAGTAGAATTATTTGAATATATCACAAAAAGAAATATAGGTATTAGGGGCGACGCTATTAGAGACGGTAGGTAGTATTAGGGACGACACGTGACAAGACGCCTTTGTGTCGTCGCTAAAAGCTCGGCGTCGCCTCTAATAGTCTAACTCCGGGAAGCTTTGCTGGAAAAACTCCGACCAGTGGCCGGAATGTCAATAGAGACGACATCAATAGCGACGACAAACGAGTATTAGAGACGAGACTATTTGCGACGACAAACGAGTATTAGCTACGAGGTAATAGCGAGGACCCTTTAGAGACGACTTGTCGTCGCTAAAGGTATTAGCGACGACAAGGGGCATCAATTGCAACGATTTTTGTCGCGCTAAAGGTTACGTTTTTTGTTGTGTATGTGGTCCTGTCGTAAAGTGGATACATAGACTTGTTGAATATGTAGGCCTTTAGTAAAGCGGATACATAGATGTTAGCTAAATAGTTTTGAAATTTCAGAGTTTTTCTTCTGAATAAATGTATATTTTTCTTTTTCTTTTAAGTTAAGCATCGTTTGTGACAAAGTGTTTGTAATTTCTATTTACGATTACCAATGTTAAGTTTGGTGTTTAGTTGGTTAAACATCAGGCCTGCTTTAATATTATATATAATACGAAGTTGCATTATAACATTAATTAAGTAGTAACAGCCACATGTGTGTGGGTCACATGCCATAGTTAGATGTTACATATACAAAAGGTGTACATGTCATACTTACATATCCAACATCTAAGAGTTATATCAAAATGACAGTGTTTTTCCTAGAGGCGATAATTAAACGTGCATAAGTTCATAAATAAGTAGAAAGTGGAGTTGGTCTTGTTTGGATAGATGGATGTTGTTGCCAGTCTAGATAGCGTTCACGTTTTGCTGCTACATGAGGTCCTTCATCTGAAATTTAGTGTAAAGGTGTTAGATGTAGTTTTAGATATGTATCATATATGTGTTATCTTTTACCTATCGGTTCAAATGAAAATACCCTTTTAGCTTTAAAATATTCAGTTTGGAATGATGATGAAGCTGGTATTTCAGTTGTTGGAGGAACAGATGGAACTTTTAGATTTGGGGTTGAAGGTATTGCTGAATGTGAGAGGGTATTGTCGGAGTCGATGTCAATAATTGTGAGACGTACATTGTCCGGAGTTGATTTTTTTGTCATCTGAAGTATCATCTTCTTTGGTAGACCTTTGGTTTTCTCCATAACCGGTGGTAACTTTTTCCTGTTGATGTGTCCTTGTTCATGGATGAGTCTCTCTGATGAGATTCCAATTAGCTTGTGGACAACATTGTCGGATAGAAACACGGTTGTTGAAACAGTACTATATGTAATTGTCACGAAAACCTTTTACTATGTATATGAGTGTAATTATTTTTGAATATTGGGTTGCTGATGTTTGTCTCAGTTTGAAAATAACATTACTTACATAAAAGTTGGATTGCTTGGTATTCTATCTGAGAGGCAGAACCATCTTTCGCCTTGTTTACAGGTTGCTTTCTTGCATGTCAGACATATAACATGGTACCAGTAGTCTGGGAATGTCAAATCATGTATTGATGCTTTTGTAGCAAATGTCTTTTCCTATAGGGAAGAACAATATAATTAGGTAAAATAATAACAGAAGAGTGTTACTTTTTAACTTTGTGTTGGATTTGCAATCAGTAGCTGTTACAATATATGCATCGTTATACCAAAAGATCTGAATAAGTTTTATCATTGATGTCGTGCACTGCCATTGGTGGTCCAACGTGTGTAGGTGTTGATACTGGATCTGTTGTGAACCTGTAAATAGTTTTTTGTAATTAGTACAACTGTGTTTCACTGAATGTCAGACATTAATCTGAGTAATTGTACAGGTCAAACAGAGTCATTGCTTCTAGGATGGGTGGATTTATCAACACGTGGCTTGCACTTGTAGTTCCTAGTCGAAACGCTTCTGCAAATGTTTGTGTTGTTAGAAAGAACAGACTTTCTGTTATTATAACTGTTCGTGTGAATATATACGTAAAAGTAACATATTAAGTACATACCATGAACTCTTGCCACCTTGACATTAGTTACATCAAGCTCTATCAGATTGGGTGCATTTTCAATCAGCTCATGACTGAATTTTTCAGGTAAATCTGTGCATTCTTTCCAAAGACCAATTGCTACTTCCTCATTCCTAAAAATTATGTGAAATAAGTATATTACCAATATTTTAAATATATGTTCTAAGGCGGATAACCTACGAATCATTTGTAAGGATAAGAAGTGTGAAAGGTTCATCATTTTTTATTGCAGTTCCTAAATTTGTTGAACACTCCCAAAAAAATATGTGTAGTCAAAATAAGATAGCATGGTGTTAATATTGAGTTTAACAATAACTTTGTAAGAAACAACTGGTATTGATATTGACATTAACGAAATCACTGCAAGTGTATCATGAGCACATGTGTAATGTCATACCTGGACAGCGGTTGACATAATCCCTTAATTGGTTTTTAGATATGAAGTTGAATCAATTTCGAGGGATAGTGTCGATATCTGCAGTACGGGTGATAGATGAAGCCATCCCAACATTGATGTACACTAGGTTGTCAACCCATCTTTGATAGTCATCTGATTCTGGACACACATACTTAGCAACTAGGTTGTCAACCCATCTTTGATAGTCATCTGATTCTGGACACACATACTTAGCAACTGTATAATAGTTCGGAGCAGTTAGCACTAACTGTATGAACCCTTGATATTTTCTCTGTCCTAGTATCTGGATTGAGTTTCCCTGCAATGTGATGAAATAATATGAGGAAGGTTGGTATTTGTACATGTTTGACAATTCATGGTACAAGTAGTTTCACACTTACGTGTTCGTCTACAGCTAAAAACCATGTTTCATAAGAATGGTGATGTGGAGTCCATGAGCGCAAAATCCGAATGTTTAACGACTTTCCTAGAGATCCATATTCCAAGACAAAAGTTCTTGTGAAATCTTCAGCCATGTCTCTAATATTCATAGTAAAACAAGAAATAAGTGTATGAAAGATTGGTGATTATATAATATGTTTTCAATATTCAGTTAGGTATTGTAAGAAAATGTGCTAGAAAACACTGAGGTAACCATGGGAAGTAGTATTATTGAGTTATATACTGAACATCATTTACTATTTACTCTAATTAACAAATCTTTGAAAACTACATTCTTTGTTGTGTCTTGTGAGACATCAGCA